AGATTTCGAGTAATGTAACAATCGTTGGTAATCTAATTAAATAAAATAAAAATAAAATAAAAATAAAACTCCATCACGCCGGTGTAGAGGCCACAGTCAACGAGTGCCGGCAGCAGTATTGGGTACTGAGACTGCGCCCTATTGTACGCACAATACTACGAAGATGCCTATTCTGCAGAATGAAGACGCAAGTATCGCCGCATCCGAGAACCGGGGACCTGCCAACATGTCGCTTAGCTCACCACAAGCGCCCCTTCACCTACATCGGGGTGAACTATTTCGGACCTCTTTCGGTGACCGTCGTACGAACTCGACAAAAGAGATATGTGGCCATTTTTACATGTCTCACGACGCGAGCCATACATCTAGAAGTCGCCGGCTCACTCAGCGCTGACTCCGCGGTAATGGCCATAAGGCGAATGATCGCGCGGCGAGGCTGCCCGACAGAAATATGATCAGACAATGGCACCAACCTGAAGGCAGCCGATAAGGAACTACGACAGACGGTCGACGCAGCGACCGCAGAAGAAGCAGCAAAGAGGACTATCTCCTGGCGCTACATCCCGCCTGGAGCTACATTTATGGGCGGAGCCTGGGAGCGAATGGTTCGCTCCGTCAAGACCGCTCTCATCGCGACGTTACACGAACGTCATCCGACAGAAGAAGTCCTCACGACACTACTGGTAGAAGTAGAATACATCGTCAACAGCCGCCCGCTGACTCACGTCTCAGTCAGTCCAGAGGATCCCGAAGGTTTGGGTTTGAAGGATTGGGAGGACCGGGACGAGTACCACAGCCAGGCACTTTCACCGAACAAGACGCCCTCTCACGGTCAAGTTGGCGAGCTGCGCAGAGGCTAGCCGACATCTTCTGGCTACGCTGGGTGAAGGAATACCTCCCTGAGCTCCAACACTGGCGGGAGCCCCACGGACGAGGCCAAGCAGCACGCGTCGACGACCTAGTACAGATCGTCGATCCCAACCTGTCCCGCAACGTGTGGATACGAGGAAGAGTCATCGCTACATATCCGGGTCCCGACAACGTCGTGCGGACGGTGGACGTGCTGACCAAGGGAGGTGTCCTACGCCGGCCAGTGAGGAAGCTTGTGATCCTGCCTCTATATACGGACGTCGAGGCCGCACCGGAAGCTGATTCGACGCGGTCGCACGGCAGGAGTGATGTGCGGGACAAGTGAAAACAAATAGTGATAAAATAATACATAAGTAAGACAAACATTTTATGTTATATATATGGAATAAATATTATAGTTTAGAGTTTATACTTAAATAGGATTTAAGCGTTTATGTTATATTAAACTGAATAAAGATTATAGAATTACACATAAAATAGGGTATAAGCATTTATGTTATGATAAGGAAATAATAGTTTAGTGTTATCTGTATAATAGAATTAGTTTTAATGTAAACAATGACTCAGTAAGGTGGTCACTTTGTATAGTAGAACTAGCTTAAGGTAAACGATGTGACGTGACTCAGCAAGGTGGTCACTTAACATCGTCACTTGCTATGTCACGCCTCGCGCTGATTGGTCGACGCCGTTTGTGCGATACGTACACCGTATCTATTGACCCAGCCGAGGTGGTATAAAAGAGGGGCGATTTTCGTCGTTCGACACAGTCCGCGGTCAGCTACCTCAAGAAAAACATCGAATATAGAAGAAAGAAAATATCTCAGCGGTTTTATTCTCCACCAACCCAGCACACAATTGTGCCTGTAGGTCACATTACTCTCTTTTTTTTTAAAACGTTACCTCCTCACTAGGATTTTCTCGTGTATCGCGGGAGCAGTTTACATCCATAAATATCACAAGGACAAACATCCAGATCCGGAACAATTATTTGCAGACCATACAAATACTCGTTCCATGCTGGACTCGAACCCGCGGTTCTCAATACTGCAACTCATTTCTAAGCCACTGCCCCACGGAAACGTCAAAATGAGTGATAACTTCCAGATGGCAATAATGCCGCTTATGAGATATTCTCTAGATATTTTATGGATGCAGCACGAATGGGTTAGTTCGACCAGGTAAGGTTTATGCTCTCACAGAATACCAGCGTAAAATGGCAGCTTAATGCTGATGTTTGGTGTATGGTGGATGTAGAGAATCTTTTTAGTGAAAATGAGACATTCGATCTTAGTTCTCAGGAGTGACAAAGCGTCTGCATTTTGATTCTTAATCGAGGATTGCTGTAGGTGTCTATGGACCACAATATTACAATGTCAGTTGGACTCTTGGTTCATTTGTTGAATGAATGAATGAAAATGTTGGAGGTTGGACATAGATACATAACATAATACATAACATATTATTGTAATAACTTAAATATCTTTTCCTAGATCACTAGGTACTAAAAAATTGAGCTGAGAACTACTCCGCGCCATGTACATGGTAGAGCCATGCTGCAGCTATATTTTTGGTATAGTTGTAACACGAATGGGTCGGCTCGACCGGGGAAGGACCACACTCTCACAGAATACCAGCGTAAAATAGCAGCTTAATGCTGCTGTGTTTCGTATGGTGAGTGTAGAGAACCGGAGACCCTTTTAACTATAAACGAGGCACTCCATCTTAGTCCTCACTGGTGACAACCCATCTGCATTTTGATTCGTAATCGAGGATAAATGTAGATGTCTATGGGTCATAGCAACCACTTACCATCGGGTGGACTGTGTGCTCGTTTGTCACCCTTATCCTATAAAAAAAAACGCTTCATTGCGGCCATCATGTGCGCTGATGTTCACCGGCAAGATTTAAAAAGAGATGATTTAAGGAAGTGGGTCGATAATAAAACGAAAAAAATTAAGATATTCTCATTTAATTTCTAGAACTCATGAGGTAAACAACACTAAACTATTTTTATACCAATCAAATTTAATCTCAAAAGGAAACGGCTAAAATAATAATTCGTTTATTACATCCTGAAACTATGTATGAGTGACGCTGTTCAAAAACATTTTGTTGCGATATGATACGCAGAATTTCAAAAATTCCTCTTGTATTCAACACTATATTCGGTATAATATACTGTACTGATAGAATAATGCATTCAAGGATGAATTTAAATTAATTTTAAATATCTAAAATTTAAACTACGTACACTAAGAGACATAAATACCTTGATTAAAATAATCAAAAATGTTTGTAAAAGAAGAAAAAAACTTAAAAGAGCGCGAAATAAAAACACGAAACGTAAAATTACATAACAAAACAAAGATTCTCATAACAACCAATAATGTTACAATTTATAACTTTTAAAATGCTTATTTGTGACAATTTTTAAGAATTTTTCATGGTTTATTAATTGGATTAGATTCAAAGAAAAAGAACCATTTACTTAAAAACTTCCTACGACGGAGTTTACTTTAAGGCATATATAAAATTAACCTCAAAAACATGACTATATAGTTTATGGCACGGACTATTTTTAAATAAAATATCCAAGAAATTTTAAACCCCAGAGAAGAAGTTCAAATTACAGAAAAAAAAATCACTTATAATAACTTTTTAGATATAAAAGAAACTGGGCTAAATGTAGATATAAACACGAGAGTAAAAGAGATGAAACGTCATGTAGTAGGAACAATAGGATAGGGCTTAATCTACAAAAAATACTGATAAAAGCTAGGAATAGGACACAAAATGGTTTGGCCGCGAAAACGGTCTTGACCAGCTGCTAAAACTAACATTGGGAATGGATTTCGGTCACCGGGAAAACTTCGGGAATGCTAAGATCATGATATTATATACTTAAACGTATTTTTCGTTTACTGATATATATTTGGTTGATTTTGTAAAAATCTAATAGTATACTATATAATATAGATAAAAATGTTTAATTGGTATCACTAATTATATTGTCATTTTTTAATTCTTACAATATCTGATCCAAACCAACCACTCTATCAATATTCAGGGAAGAATTTAGCGAAATTTTAACATTAATTCTAAAAATATGTATGAAGTTATATGGCATTAAATGGCTACCTCATGAATCACAAAATATTAGCACTCGTTTTTCTGTACACTAGTATCGAATTGATTTTTTTATACATTACTCTTTAATCCCAAAATCTGTAACAATTATTAACATAATGTTTTTAATTTTCGATATATAATCTATTCTTATTTACAAAGTTTATAAAATTGACATTTCTTTTGTTAAATACGTTTTTTTTCTCAATATATTTTTGTTTTTAATCTATGATTTTTTCTGCGACAGTTTCTGAATAGTAAATACTCTATCGTAACTATTGTATTGCTTTAAATTGACTTTAATTTGTATACATTAACGCTTCAATTAATTGTCTTTATCAGAAACTATCGCAAAAGCGTATTGTCTCGACTTTGTTCGTCCAGGCACAAAATGGCGTTTTAAACCCAACTTTTATTGCCTTCATTTTACGAAATCTAAATTAATAATACTATTCGTAAAAATGTCTTTTTCATGGGGAAGTAATAAATATAAATATTTTTTTAATCAACTATCATCTAAAATTGGTCGGGGTTTAGGAAAATACACACTTTAACATGCACTACCGTTACGCCATATCTAATAATCATATCAATTGCATATTTTATAAAATGCATTTTCACGATTTGAACACACAACAATCTACTGTTTTTAGTAATTCCATATTCTTTTTCATATAATGTCTCTATTATAAAATCTATTTTGGCACACGATTTACCACGTGTTGCGTCTACGTATTATCAACACTTGCATCTAAGGCACAATTTAGATGGACACTGACACTTGCGAATATCAAGAAAGCATATTTATAAAACATTCGATCAATATTTTGATCCAAAAGCAATCACGTATACTATTTAACACTCGGTTAATTTTATTTTTTCTCTAATTTCTTTCCGTTGGATTTCTTCTATTTCAAGTATTTTGTCATACACACACTACAAGTTATTTTTAATATCAAAACACTTGCGTATACAATGTGAAACCATCGAAATATAACGTCCGGTCAGTTGGTAGCACTGGTAGAAGGTCCAAGGCTTGCTTCCTGATGTTTGTATTTATGCGAGGTCATTTGTGAAAGACCTAACACTGCAAAGCCGCATTGCAGGCAGTGGTAGTGAGTTTGTTTCTTACTGTGAATACATTGAGGCTCGTAGCCGCAACCTGAAAAAATAACATACGTTAATTAAAACGATCACCGGTCCTTGTTGCTTTTTTCGCGACATCCACACTAATATTATTTGTGTGGATGTTAGTACAGCGGTTTGGTTGTTTGTTACATATCCAGATTCTCGTTACCCCGTCTTTATCCTTATCATTATCATCTTCATCATCATCATCATCGTCAACAACAACAATCACAATAACCATAACAATAACATCAACAGTCCTTAACAGTTTACAGCTGGGCATTGTCTTTAGGTAAGGAGGATTTGCCCAGAGCTAACAAAACATCTGTAGCCTCTCTGCTTGAAGTTGGCTACTGATGTCCATGGACTTACCATCGGTTGGACTGAAGTTTGCTTGTCACTAAAGTTCTATAAGAAATACATAATATTATATTTTCTACGACAAAACTTAGAGCTGCCAAGTTTCTACTAGCTGAGTAATTATTATAAAAATGTTATTTACATATTTGTTTTAAATTCCCAAGCATTTTTTTTATTGGAACTAGCGAGCACGCAGTCCACCTGATGGTAAGTGGTGGCTGTGACCCTTAGACATCCACATCTATCCTCGATAAAGTATCAAAATTCAGATGCGTTGTCACCCGTGAGGACTAAGATGGAATGCCTCTTTTCCAGTTACTATACTACTAATATAGCTGCAGCATGGCTCTACCACGTAAATATATATAATATAAAATAATATTTATTTCATAAAATCAAATTATACCGTACTGTAGTGTATTATTTATTTTACCTTTGCTCGGTGGAAATTTCTCGAAGCCAGCGGCTTGAATCGAATCGAGTTTCTGGTGCTGACGCCGATGGGCGACCACTTTGTTAGTGTCCGTGCAAACGAAATCGCACTTGAGGCAATGGAAGTGTGAGGCTTTATTTTGACCTGTTCCTGGAAACAACCAGATGAGAGTTAAAACAGAAGCAAAGGTTTCACGATACCACTACGTGATCGTTGATGTTTCTTAACTCAGAATAAGGTAGCAGAGAAAGCTTAACACGACAGCATTATCACAAACTATTGAAAATCCACTGCTGAACATAAGTCTCTCCCCACTGATTGCAACTTATAGGATATTTTGCCATAGTTGCCACGCTTGGCAGGTGGTTTAGGAATCGCATCTTTTCTGCCGACTTCCAAAAAGGAGACGGTACTCAATTCAACTGTATGTTTTTTATGTGTGTTACCTTATAACTTTTTACTGGGTGAACCGATTTCGATGATTCTTTTTTTATATGAAAGCTGATACTTCTCGTGTGGTCCCATATGAATTTGATCAAGGTCAGACCAATAGTTTTTGAGTTATACTTAATAACTTATATTGAAGTTGGCTGTTGAAAATTTGTAATTTTAAATTATCATTACTTTCATTTGTTCAGGGAGATGGTGTTGCCCTTCTTCTTTTTCACTTCCTCTGTCACTTCTCACGACACCTTCACACATGACATGATGTGAAGTGGATTCTCATACAACACCACCATGAGATAAAATATAATAACGAATAGCGATAAATTTAAATATAAAGAAAAGAGTTTATCATTTTTGAATGAGTATATTTTCACATAATATGAATTATCTAAATTGACAACACCTACCAAATGTAGTAGCGTGTGGACATTCAGGCCTCTGGCAGTAAACATTGGCCCGATACTGTTGGAAGTCACCGCCCATTAGCGTATCCAATCTAAATAAAAGTAAATAGTTATTGAATCTTTAAATTTTATAATAACATAACTGTAACTAAATTTAAAAAAAAAATATTAAAAAGCTATAGTAGTATATAGTAAGTAATGGCTGTTCCAGTATTCTTAATTTGTTCATTCCACTTTTGATAAAAGTAACGAACACATAGTCCACCTAATGGTAAGTGGCTGTGTAAATTAAATATTCAGTTTTCCTCTTTTAAGCTAGTGTAGTTAACGGACGAAAAAAATCGTTCCGTTAAATTTTATTTAAACTGTTATCACGATCCGTCACGCCATCTATTGATTTCTACAAAATCTACATCAAATAAGGCGAGACGTCTTTATATTGAACTGATTTACAAGCTTTACGTGTTTAGATAGTGGAACATTTTCAACATAGATGGCGTTGAATGTTATAATTACCTATTTTTGTTTATTTTGAAAAGAACTTGGAATAAAGCAAATAAAGCCTTTTATCAAAAAAGGTACGTTATATTTTGTCTGAATCGTATATCATATACTTTTATAAGGTACAAGAAAAATTAAATAATAACCTTTCATGCCTGGCGGTGTGCTGAACGAATCTTGTTTTGTCGCAGAAAGAATAGCCGCAGTCTTTTCTGGTGCAGTGGAAGTGTGTTTGATGTTCTCTGCGAAAATAAATTCATATTAACACAATTAAAATTTCTAAGTACACGCGACCCGAGTTTGATTCCCGCAGACACCAATTAATTTGTTACCTACAATTTCAAAGGTTTACATACCTACAACAAGCGTGAGGAAAGTTGTATGTCTAAGAATTTAAATAATATTTCATAGACATGTGAAGTCAAAGCATTTTTATAAATTAACGGAGTGTCAGCCAAGACTCACGGCTGTTACTTTCTTTTATTTTTTTATAGTAAAGGGTGACAAACGAGCACACAGTTCACCTGATGGTAAGTGGTTGCTGCGGCCAATAGACATCTACATCTGTCCTCTATTACAAATCAAAATACAGATGCGTTGTCACCCATCTGTATTATGATTTGATCACACCCTCATCGATACACAATGAAACACAATGATTTAGCATAAATATACTTAAATAAAAAAATATATATTTTATAAAGTAATTGAAACTTACCTATATCCGCAGTGTTGGTACGCGCAATCCTCATTGAATCTGAACCTAAGATATCCCTCAGGGATCGGCTCGTCCTTCATCACTCGCATGTGAGGTCCTCTGGTTGTGTGTGTGCGCCTGCTAACAATATTTTACGAAATTAAGACGGAATATTATACTTAATATATCAAACATATACGAAAAACTCGGTAGCTGAAAAGTATATATATATATATAAATATTTTTACCTTTAAGTTGTATAGAACGGTAAACTGTTGAAGTTCGGAGTAATTTTCTAAATATAAAATTATTTGGTTTGGCGGTGAAAAGAAAGTTTATATAAAATAAGGATCATAAATGAGCACATAGTCCACCTGGATGCAAAATGCAGATGCGTTATCACCCCTGAGGACTAGAAGATGGAATGCCTCGTTTCTAGTAAAAATGGTCTCCGGCTCTCTACAGTATCCATACGAAACACAGCAGCGTTAAGCTACTATTTTACGCTGGTATTCAGTGGGAGCATGGTCCTACCCCGGTCGAGGCGACACATTCGTACTACAACCACAATATACAAGTAGCTGCAGCGTGGCTCTACCGTATACAACTTGGAGAATCCTTCTCAATTAGAGAAATAAAAATAAATTAGAGGATATTACAAGTTAACAGCTTACATAAATTTCTCAAGAACAACATCCAAAGACGGGATAATAATGTATAGGCCATTGTAATATTTTTCCCATGCGTGAATAGAACCTACGGTCCTCAGCGCCGCAACTCAATTCTAAGCCACTGCGCTACGGAGCCGGCAGACCGACCACTATTAGGAACTATGAAATATGAATCCAATGGAAACGTTCATGAACTGCTAATTTATTTCCTTGTGTTTCTCAACGAAACTCAACGAATAACGAATGTTATGGAATTCGTTCACGATTTGGTCTTATATTATTTTAATATAATTTTGTCTTATTTTGTCTATCCAAATACCTTGTGATTTCTATCCAAAGAAATATTAAAATAAAAAAAATAGGTGATACATTATATAAAACTGAACAACGGGTATATTGTTCTAATCTAAGATCTAATCAAAAATGATAACAAAGTTATATCAAAACGTATACTCACGATTTAGCAATCATTTCTGCTTCTTTGTCCAATCCAGGTGGTATTCCATGACCTTGGAGAAGACTCTGTTCGAGGAGTAGTTCAGGTGGGTAGAGCATTGTTGGGTAAATTGGGAAAGGCGAACCACTGCAATGCAATAAAAAAATCCAAGTAAGTATAATTGTTATGTAATAAAAAACCGCTCTAAATATCGGTTTTAAATAAAATCATCGAAAAAATATGTATGATTTTTTTTAATATAGGATAGGGTGACAAACGAGCACACAGTCCACCTGATGGTAAGTGGTTGCTGTAGCCCATAGACATAGCTACATCTATCCTCGTTTGCGAATCAAAATGCAGATGCGTTGTCACCCGTGAAGACTAAGATAGAATGCCTCTTTTCCAGTTAAAAGGGTCTCCGGTTCTCTACACTCACCATACGAAACACAGCAGCATGAAGCTGCTATTTGACGCTGGTATTCTGTGAGATCGTGGTCCTTCCCCGGTCGAGCCGACCCATTTGTGCTACAACTATACTACTAATATAGCTGCAGCATGGCTCTACCACGTAAAAATACGTTGTTTTATAACAATATTCTACCATTACTATTATTTGATATGCTATCAAATAATAGTAATGGTAGAATATTGTTATAAAACTGCTATTTGACGCTGGTATTCTGTGAGAGCGTGGACCTTTCCCGATCGAGCCGACCAATTCGTGAACAACCATTATATTGGTTGTAACACATGGTTGAAGCGTGGCTTTACCACGTATGTTTTTTTTTTATTTGTAAACAAGTGGTAAAATTAAAAATTTTGTACAACCGACTTCAATATAAATAAAATAAGAACATCGTTAATGTAGTCGAAGTCAATTAAATACGCACTATTAAGGATAACTCTAATCTAACTAAAGACTATCGGTCAGATCGTAATCAAATTTATATAGGACCACATGAGAAGTACCAGCTTTTAAATATATAAAAATAAAAAAATAAAAAATAATATAAAAATAAAAACCATCAAAATCGGTTCACCAAGAAAAAAAACATGAGGTAACACACATAAAAAAATGCAGTCGAATTGAGAACCTCCTCCTTTTTTTGAAGTCCGTTGAAAACTGCAAGAAATCTCATATCAATTTTGTTTTAATACTAACCCTTGGGAAAATAGTGCAACTTGCGCCAATCCAGGCAAACCAGCCAAAGACGCAGTGTATTGTTGTTGTATTTTCATCTGATCCTGCAAACTGCCTTTGCGACCTCCCGCCAGATACTGCTGTAGGAGTAGGCTCTGTACTGCTTGGACCTAGAAATGTGAAAGGATCGTATTGATATCCTCTTTATTTAAAATATGTAATTTTTAGACCGTTAACCGTCCTTGGTCAATCAATAAATGAATAATACAATTTAATATTTTTTTGCTTATTATAAGACAAGGCGTTAAAATGAGCAAAGCTTAGAAAACTGTACCATTCTATCCCACAAAATATACAATTTAGAAGTACGTAATAAATTATCTAGCCATTCCAAATAGCCGATAGTATTGAGCATTTCAGTATAATTTCTATCAATCAAATTATTATATTGCAATCAATAGAAGGAGCTAAGTCAAAATTTTCTTACTTGTTCAGCTGGATTAGGTGGTCTTTGACTTGGAGAAGGCATTTGAGGAGCTGATGATGAAGCTGCGGTAGAGGGTAATATTGAAATCTCTGGATATTCTCTTTCCAGGGTCTCCTGTAGAAATAATAATCATTAATATCACAATATTACCACAATATGGTTGTATTATAAAATATTAATATACAAAATACAAAGAAAATTGAAGAAAAACAGATAATAATCAAGGACCTAAAAGAAGAGATGGCCTTCCATCATTTTCGTGATTATATAACTTCTAGAAAAACTCTAAACAGTTCTCATCAAACGAAAACTCTAATTTTTATTTACCTTAGTAGCCTGCAGCCCCACTGGCCCTGATTCCATACTGTTGCTATGTTTCTTTACCATGTGACTAAACAGTAATTTCAAATCAACGTATGCTTGACTACAGTGAGGACAATGATAATGTAAATTCATTCCCCCAGCGTTTTTATTTAAGGGACAAGACTGATCATGGCATGACGGTGGTATTGTTGGCCCCGATAGCTTCGGCGGCTCAAAAGGCCTCTTTTGATCAAAGTCTATACGAAGCTTCATGTCCTTTGATGGCGATGCATCGTAGATACTTCTCGGCGATGGCGATGAAGTATTGCTTCTAAGGTGCGATGATGGGTAGAAGGTTCCCGTCGCTTTTACTACTGAAATTAAGATTTTTTGTTAAGTTCAACCAACAATCGCCAGTTAAAGTGATTTTAGTTAATTAACAACTCACATAGACACAGAAGAGCCTGTGTATTACATATTTGGGTTATAATAGGAAGTTTTCTTGGTTATTTTATAATAATTATACAGGTAAAAAGTCTTTTGATTTTGAAAATCTGTCATTGTTATAAAAGTAATGAAATAACACTTACCCGAAACATTATCTGGTTCTCGTTCAAATTCACTTTTAATAGAAAAGTTAGTGGGAGTATACGATTCATTATGTTCCTTCATAGAACTGACACTATCTGCAGATGCTCTGTCTTTTGTAGAATAGTCTTTGGCTTCTTCGAATGGTTTGTCTTGATCTATCTCACTTTTGATAACTGGAGTTCCTCGTCCATGTTTATGTGTAGCTAAGGCCGAGTATTGGGTTAAAATTGCCGGGCAGTTATTGCCTTGAGCACAGTGGAAGTGAGATCTCAATTGGTTTTTATAACAACTCTTTCCTCCGCATTGATCGAAAGAAGAAAAATAATCGAATCCATCGAGGAGAGGAGAAATAGAATGAGATTCTCTCATGTGAGTTTCCATTATAATGTGGGTATCTCCAGTGAAGCTACAGTTGAAACAATGGAGATGGAGCCTAGTCATTCGCAGTTGACAGTTGGGATAATATTGTGTACAGGTATCAGGGGCTGTGAAGACTTCAAAATGTTGGAATTTGATGCGCTAAAAAAAATTAAACATATCTTAAAACTTTGTAATATCTTTATTGAATGGAATGATTTGGACCTCCATTCCTCCACAATCACATACACACGCCTGTCTGCATGGTCCTGAGTCACCTGCATCTATTTCTTACCAGGTCGTCAATCCGTCACTTCACGTTCCTAGTGAGGCCCATATTAAGTGTGGTCAGACTGACTTGTGATGAGCAGTTGTGATGACGATGATAATGAAATTTTTACTATTCATTGTAAATGTTTAATTAATTATAATTCATAATGAGAGAAGTGCATTGAAAATTTGCAAAAATAATTTACTTACAGGAAATTCTTCAACAGCAGTTATTACTGAAGATTGTACTACAGGCGGTAGTTGATTGCTTTTTGGTAACTTAAATGATGTGAAAATAGCTTGAGGAGTCACCTAAAATCAAACATTGTCGTAGTTATAAATTAAACATTATTTCAATAGTTTGGATACATATTCAATCCGAAAATTTGTCTTACATTGTCAGTCCAAACTTCGACCACTCTATTTTTCGGTGGTCTTCCTCTCTTTCTACTAAACATTTCGTCTAAAGAACTAGACGGATTAACTTGCTGAGGTACTATTCCAGGGTTCGGGCCCAGATTTAATTGAGCTTGTAAGTTAGGAGTTAGTTGTGAGGAAAGGCTTGGTGCCATTTGAGCTAGTTGAGCCAAGTTTGGCGGAAGATTTGGTAAGTTTGACACCTGACCGAGCTGCGCCGCCATATTCGGGTGTAATTGGGCTGAGAGTTGTGGAGTAAAGTTTGGTGCAAATCTGGCCGCTAGGTTTGGAGACATTGGGCTTAAAATTGCATGCTGGCGGTGGTGTTCTAAACGTCTGAATGGATGTTCTTCCGATGAAAGGATTACAGCACCGCAGTTTTCCTAAAAAAAAAAATTAATAATATGTAATGCATTAAAATATAAAATAAAAGACAAAAAAGAGACAAGAAATTTTTAGATAATTAAAAACATTATCTCGTATATACGAAATTACAAGATATTACCCAAGTGCAATGATAATGTGTGATTTCTCTGATGTGCTGGCATGCAGAATTACTGCAAGGGTTGCTTCGCGAAAAGGTCATGAAGTATGCGTCCGTCACTTGGTTTTGTTGCTCATGTTCTAATACGTGCTTAACCATAGTATTATGACAGCTGTTGGGAAATAATTTTTGTTAACATATTTAGTTACAATTTTGATTTTAAGTCTAACAATGTTTCTGTTTTTAGTTTCTTTTTCTTAACTTTATGATTATAAGATTATAACAATTAGTTTTCTGGTAATTTTCAATTAATTTTTTAGTTTAAGTTAATTTTTGTTTGATTTTCATTTTATTTATTATTAATGAACTATACATTTATTAATTTTTCTAGAAATTAAAAAAAAATATTTCATGTTACATCAAAGGAATTTTCATTACTAAACTTATAAAAATAGTATAATATATTAGAACCGTATTAAATAAGTTATTTCAATACTAGAATGCTTTGGGAATACACAAAGTTGCATTATTTAATTTAATACTCACCTATGTGCCATTTTGCAGCTATCAAATAAGCAATGGTAATGCTTATTAAGAGCGCTGCATTTGCTACATTTATCCTCAACCTCCTTGCTACCATTAAAAACTTCTATATATTTTCGAGAAATTTCTTCTACTAACGCTGGATTCTGTAACATTGATTGTATCATTACCATATGGCTTTTATTATTATAATCAAATGCATTTCTTATTTCATTTCTATTGATATTTTTTAAATAATCCTAGTTAAAGCTGTGAACATTACTAAAACACCCGCCAATCACTTCAAATAAGCTTAATTAATGCTTGTATTAGAAGTGTTTGACAGTTAATCGAATGGCGTATTCGAACCAACGACTTTTTTATGCTGTTGCTTTATATAGATCGTTTAAAATGTTTTTGTTTGTTATTCTTCTACTATAGCAATAGTTATCACCACACTGCGATACATTACCGGGTAGAGAATACAATTATTGCGTTAGGTTCACCTACATACCATTTTTGTGTATTAACTAACATACGTATTAACTTACATATCAATCTAAATTAAAAGTAGTTCTAAATTTGTTCTATTAAATTCTCCCAATGTTACAACTTATTCATGCTATAGTGTACTTACGTATGGATTAGAATAATCATCAAGCATTGAGCTGGACATATCATCATCTCCATGAAGATTACTTCCAGGTGAATACAGACTCAGATCTGCACCTTGATGCATCAACGCGCTTTGTATTACTGATGTAGGAAGCCTAAGGTTAAATAAATACAAAATTTTAAAAATATTGATAAATTATTAAATTAGATGCATTTTAATATAAATTTATCAAGATTATACTTAAAACACTGAAATTTAACTACTCTTTGTTTCAGTTTAAATTACTTATTATTATTTTTAATAAGTGTTCGACCACAATCTCACCTAGCGGTTAGTGGACATAAAGCCCTAGATGGTAAATCGCACTGTCTTACCTCAACCTAGTCATTCCTAGCTTATTTACTCTTGCTATCCAATGACCTTGCTTTGTGGCATTCCTTGGGGGAGACCTTTGTTCAGCAGTGGACTTGTGAAGGGCTGTAATGATGATGATGTGAAGCAAACCGTTTGGTCCGAATGTGTTAAATATCGACAACAGTTTCCTATGACATGAAATTGGAGATGGGCAGCATATAACAAAAAAATTCAAAAACAAAAAATAAGAAAAGAACTTTAGTTGCCAAGCTTGCCTACTATGGTAAACGTCCCCCTGTGAAGCAAGATATGAGGGAGGTCTATGTTCAGTAGTGGACTTTTGATAGTCTGTATTGAATTAATGAATGATAAATTACGAACAAAGCAAAAATATTCAAGATAAGAAAATCAAAAAGCAAATATTTTACCCAAAACTCATTTCTTGTTCCTTTCTCTCGTGTTTCCTTTTGTGAGTAAAGATCTGGCTGCTTGAGTGTAGGACGTAGTTGCAGTGAGGTCGGATGCAGTGTATGTGGTTACAGGTTCGACTGAACCTGCAGTCGCGATAAGGACAAGCTTCGTTCTTCATATACTTTTTAAAGCCATCCTTTGACAGGGCCTCGTCTTTGATATGATAGGTTTTGTGTTTTTCTATTTAACAAATAGATTTTTGATGTGGATTATTAGGAAAATTATAATTTTAAATATTTGATGAACACTCTAATAAATTTTCAACTAAAATCAATTAATATGAATTATTTTGGTTTAAATATACCATATGCTTACCCATGTCAGCTTTGTTCTTAAATGTATATGTGCATCCCGGTCGCCTACAGTGAAAATGTGTGGTTCTTTGGCCAGCGAACATGCAGTGAGGAGCGGCGCAACTTTCAGTAGCTCTGAACCTTTGGAAGCCCTCCTGAAGAATGGCCGAGTCCTTACGGTGATAGTTCGCGTGCATTTGGACGTCTGACGTTGAAATATATACCTGAAGTTGAAGGGATAGAAAATTATGATCTTAATTGATTGTAAAATAATATTAATCTTGAAGTCATTAAAAAATTATATTAGAAGTACGGAAACGAAGATAAACAGCAAATTTTAGAATGCAAATATGAGAAATCGTGTGTATCTCGTACATGTAAAAAATGTAACTTAAAATATTGTGATTTATTATCTTTCATCTTAAATATAATAATTACAAAAAATATTGTAAAGCTTAATTTATAAATGGTAGTTTCACTGCAGCTTGTTTATATAATATTACTTTTAATTGCTTAGACATAATGTTTAATTATAAATACCATTCAGTTATTTCGCTTCTTTTATATTTTTTAAAATTTTTATACAATATAATATCGCGGTGGCAAACTTTTATTATGTAGCTATTAGATATCTGTGGAAACTTCATTGGTTTTTAGGATAACTTTTATATGTTTTATAATCTAATTGATTATTGTACTATATGTTTCCTTTAAAAAAACATGCGTGAGTATCGCGGAACACTCGGTTGAAACGAAGTTCCTTTTGTAGTGTATTATTATTTATAAACGTTAAATGACGCTAATGGCGTTATAATGGATTAACAAATACAAATAAATAATTACCAGCGTCTATTAAAATGAAGCGTCATTTAAAATAATATTTCTTTCATGGCAAGATAAGAAATAGTGCGAGGGAGATGGATATTATTGTGCGAGCAGCACTATAGAAAGGGGGCCGTGACGGAAAAATCTTACACTTTTTCTTGCCTAGCCCCATTCGCCAAATTCGTACCGCGTGATAAAGAACTTCGTTCCAAAAATCGGATAATATCCTAATAACTGTTAGATTGATCATGTAATGGTGCGTTGTAAGAATATCCACAAAACCAGATCGTCCGGTGTCGTAAGAAGAGGGACACAAACCAGTAAGTAGATGGGTATCAGCGTCCTTCTAATGATAACTAAAAAATTTTGAAAATAAACTGTGGTCGCCAATCAGCCTGCCTACCGTGGCAGTTACGGCAAATATCTTCTAGCGGCTTCAGGAAGTCTATGGTCTCTCACTATGGAAGTCTATGGAGGAGGCTTACGTTCAACAATGAACTTTTATTAGGCTGTAAGGGAAACGGTAACTGTTATATAGTTTTCTGTATTAAGTGATATCTATTTAAGCCCAATTCCTGAGAAATTCGTAATTATTATATTACTAGCTGTGCCCCGCGGTTTCACTCGCGTCATCACGTGTCCGAGGTGCGCGACATGACCTATTTCAAGCATTTTATAACAGCTAGGGTTTAATCGTCGTTCGCGCGCCCAGCCAAGTATTGAATTATTTTAATTTTACATTATCTCTTAAACTATGCGTCCAAATTACATGGTATAAAGTTTATCTTCAAAAAATTGTCTTGATGATGAAGTAACTTTTGTTCATAAGGATAAATAGGCCATGCCTAATAATAACGCTCATAAATCACTTTTAAATTTTAAAATTTTTTTTGTCACAAAATACCAAATTATGGCTTATGTATAAGAAATAGACATATGGTATCGCGGACTCTTTTTTAGACGAAGTAAAGGTCTATATTTTTCTAAAACATTGTATTTACGTATCCCTAACGATAACACCAGCGTACGCGGATAAATCATTTCGGGAGTGCTTTTTCTTCTGACTTGCTTAACAAATATCCATATTTAGGGCTAGCTGAGTGATATAGCTTAATGTTAGATAACCTATACTATTCCACATGAATCTGGCTATAATATCGAAAAAGAAGTTTTCAAATCGGACTGGTAGTTCCAGAGATTAGCACGTTTAAACAAACAAACAAAAAAGCTCTTCCGCTTTATTACATTAATAAAGTATAGATAAAATTGCAACTCTACGTGAGTTATTAATGTATATAGAAGACATTATATGTATACGTTTACAACATTTTGTATATCAAAATATATTTGGTTATATATATGATATGAATATGATGTATTTGATTAGATATTTGTATTTTCTGAACTATAATAATTTTTTTTTAATTGTTTCAGCCACATCAAAATCCCACCGCACCGATTTACTTGGTAGAAAATACCTATAAATATTAATTGCGCCTTTTTGTATAATTTATAAAATGAAGAATGCAATTTATATTTTAATTAATGAATAAATATATTTTTTTTAATTTATGGATACATTTTAAATAGAAGCTGAGGGCTTTTATCACGGTTTAATATACCTTATCACAGCCATCTTGGATGCAGTGGTAATGTGTTTGACTCCTGTTGTGAGGGCAGTCACTAAAGCGTTCGGAGCAGTCATCGAGAGGAGAGTAACGCATAAACCCATGTGCTAGCGACTCATCCCGTTTCTTGTGCCACTGTTGAAAGATTTTTTCATTAGACACAAAGAAATATATGATATACAAAGAGATATCTCTATACCTAGTCAGGTCATAAGTATTGTCACATAGTAAAAACTTTTCTTTTAGAATGCTGGCCATAAAAAAGTTTATTGAATTCGAATTTCGAATTATTCATGAAAATAAAACTGTATACTTTTTAGAATTTTACTCATTTTTAAATATGGAGTGGACGCTTAAAGAAGACCGTGTTGCAGTTATTGCGTTGCATCGTTGCGGTTACGCGCCAATTCAAATTTTTGACATACTGAAAAATTTGAATATAACCAAAAGATTCGTTTATCGTACCATCAAACGATACAATGAAGACTCTAGTGTAGATGACAGGTCAAGAAGGGGTCGCCCTTGGTCTGTTAGGACTCCAGCAGTGATAAAAGCTGTGAAGGCGCGAATTCAAAGAAATCCCAAACGTAAGCAGAAACTGTTGGCCCTTCAGATGGGGTTAAGCAGAACCACGGTGAAAAGGGTGTTAAATGAAAACTTAGGGCTTCGGGCATATCGAAGAAAAACAGGACATCGTTTGAATGCTCGTCTAATGGACCTGAGACTGAAGAGATGCCGCGCTTTGTTGAAGCGGTACGCGGGAAAAAAATATCGGGAAATTCTTTTTTCGGATGAAAAAATTTTTACCGTAGAAGAGAGCTACAACAAACAAAATGATAAGGTGTACGCACACAGTAGTGAACCATATTCCGCGTGTCCAACGAGGTCATTTTCCATCCTCGCTCATGGTATGGTTGGGAGTTTCTTATTGGGGCTTAACAGAGGTACATTTTTGTGAGAAAGGTGTAAAAACGAATGCAGTTGTGTATCAAAATACAGTCCTGACGAACCTTGTGGAACCTGTTTCTCATACCATGTTCAATAACAGGCACTGAGTATTCCAACAAGATTCGGCGCCAGCTCATAGAGCGAAGAGCACACAAGACTGGCGGGCGGCGCGTGAAATTGACTTCATCCGGCACGAAGACTGGCCCTCCTCCAGTCCAGATTTGAATCCATTAGATTACAAGATATGGCAACACTTAGAGGAAAAGGCGTGCTCAAAGCCTCATCCCAATTTGGAGTCACTCAAGACATCCTTGATTAAGGCAGCCGCCGATATTGACATGGACCTCGTTCGTGCTGCAATAGACGACTGGCCGCGTAGATTGAAGGCCTGTATTCAAAATCACGGAGGTCATTTTGAATAAACTTTAGTGTCATAAGAATCTATGTTTTGTAAAATTCATTTTGGTATATAAATGTTTACATAACGAATAAACTTGTTTCAATTATTTTATATTAAACATGTGACAGAATTTATGACCTGACTAGATATATAAAAATCTATTGCTGTCCGTAGTCTCGCTAAAATTCGAAACTGGCTGGACCGATTGTGATGAAATGTTTGTGTGAGTTTGAGTGGGTCCCTGGATGATGTAGATTTACAATTGGACGCGGTAGGTGGCGTTGTGTCGAGACCCAGATATAACCCGTGCGAAGTCGGGGCAGTTCGCTAGTATGATATACATACAAAGAGAGAAAGATTGACTGCCTCATTAGTTGTGTAAAGCGCGCGATTGATGTACATGAGGTCTCGGTTATTGGATTTATTTGTCAAGAAATTCTCAGTAGCAGGCCGGATTCAGGAAGTTGGTGGTGTTTCAGCACCGTGCCCCTTTCGTCCTGCGCCTGATCTCTCCGGTCGTATTGGATTGGATTATACCTTGTGTACTTGTACTTGAGTTTTATACGAATAATGTAAGAAATTATCATCCAAATACCATTTCCTTTTGACAGATACGGTGAAAATTGGAGGAAGAGGACTCATATGTGGCAGTAGATTGTAAAAACAACCACCACAAGTTCAAGAGTAAATGAAACAACCTTATTGATTTCATTAAAAAGACAAATTAAGAAAACCGGATAGGCCCATATCCAAAAGTGGAATGTTTATAGGCTGAAGAAAGAAGCATGATACCACTGATTTTTAAATCAATGGGCAGTTAAAATAACGCATGTATTACTTACTTTGAAGTGTCTGATCATTTCTTCTTTCTTGCAAAACACTCTCGCGGTACAATCCATACAATGAAAGTGCTCTCGGTAGCCTAGATCCTTGCAATAGGATGAACCACATTCTAACGTTGAACTGTACCTGCACGTTATAAACAAATAATAATAAAATAACTACCAAAACTACCGAATTTATATATGCTTAACAAAAAAACAAATATGAAAAATATAATGTTAAATAAAAATATAAACCGATACGGATATCAGAGTTACATGCAAAAATCAAATTAAAAACACATGTTTTAGCAATAAGACTCATTGTTAAAACAAACGTTGAAATAAAATAATAGACAAAAAAAAACTCTTACGACTCTGATAAATTCATGACTTATGTTAATATCGTCGATGGAAAAAACAACACATAAAGCAATAGAAACGATTTTACCAGATGTTGCGTTATGAGTAATAATATAGCTAAGATAACAAAAAATGTGAGGTCAACTCTGTTATAATATATTGTATCTGATTTAAAAAAACTACTTCGTAATTTTGCTGATTTAAATCTTTACCGGAATATTAAAAAGAACGAAAGCCAATTTAAAGAATCGTAAAGTGTTAATGCTTTTGGTCATTAGTTTTATAGTATACAGTATAGGTTTTTTTTTACATCGTTACTGTCCATCGGTGCTACTAGATCTAGATTAGATCTTAAAGAATCTAACCACAAACTGTGTTAAATTCAAAACTATGCCTAGCAGACACAATTTTAAGCCTGAATATACCACTTTTTTAAATTCTTATTTCAGCTACGTACAATGATTTCTTTTTGCGGTTTTTAAGTAATATTTGGACCGGTAGATATGATGTTTTAGATTACTAACATATTTAAACTGTACCTTTTTACGTATCTCGAGTAATCCACAGTCGTCTGTAAGGAGTTTTTCCGCACTTGATCCAAGTGATTCAATGCTGATAGAAGACCTACAAAGAAAGAAAAAAATATATTACTAAAAAATATGCTAATACTTTATAACGATACATTCAAACATTCCTCTTCTACGAAACTTATTATTTTGTTTGAAGCAGCTAAATCACCTCCATGCATCATATTCAAATGAACAATGTACTGTTTTCATCATGTAGGAAACATTTAATAACTTCCAAGTCACTAACAACGGTAACATCCACGTTTGCGTTCGCATCTCGTTCTTTTAAAGTTTTTAGTTTGAAAAGAACTTAAACGTCCCGCCGCTTGTGTAACCGGCCCCTCCCCGTATCAAGTTTTGGAGTATCAAATAAATTATTATGGTAATTAATCAATGTTTTCTCCTAGTCACTCTAGAGCGCTCGCTATTGTGAGTGATCGTCGACTCTACGTCTACGTACATTACATCACGAAAGTGTTTTTGTAAATCAACTCGTTTTAATATCCTGTGTGATTTTATCAGTTAATAATAAGATGTAGTGCAAGTTATGTCTATCAGAGATATTTGACTTTTGATCTCCATAAATGTTTTTGTTTATATTGGTTTCGTCTTTGATGGAGAATTGGTTTTTGATTTTAAAATAGAATAGGTATTGATAATAACGATCGCACCAAGGTACAAAGACACTTCTGCGTTCGCCACTACGGCAGTCCAAATACGACACAACTGTACCAAACCTGAACGCACGTCGTATTGTATTGAAAATTCGGTTTTGTGTTCACCGTCGTCGGAAGATTAACCTGGGTATTTGTTAGACACCGCTCGCTGACGAAATACCACCTCTGCGCCTTTTTTTACAAAATCGTTTTTGAAAGACGAATTAATACCTATACTTATGTAGATTAGCGCTCACAACACAATGGACGTTAACATACTGCTTGATAATTTGGTGTGTTACATAAGTCGTGCATGAATACTCGTGATTGTAATAACAGGCGAGGTTTTAGTGAGAGCAGGTTATTATAAATGAACTAGAGAGAGATCACTTGCTTCGTAGGTTGTTTCTGATCGCGTTAATGGCTCACGATTTTGTAAGCGATTGTGCGAAAATGATATCGAAAAATGTGTATTGTTAGACGTCAATAAACTATGTGAGCAACGAATTTATTGCCTTTAATTTAGGTAGATTAAAGATAATGAAAAAAGAGCGGCAATTTACGGTGAATCTAGTTCGAGAAAGCTTCGTGTGAATGTTAAAACAGTCTCGATGAGTTTTGATTCTGATTTGACTGCGGTGTAAGCTATAAAACACGAAGATGAAGAAAACAAAAAGACAATGGTGCTTGGCAGAGACCGCATCAGATAATGTACGTTCGACATAATAAACATTTATAATACGGAGGTGGTTTTTTAGGAAATTTCGTAAGATATTGTGCCGGCTCATTCAGCCGAAACAATGGGGTCCTCATAATGTTCTACATAATGGGTTTTTGAATTCACTCAATGGAACCTTACGTTGTGATCGACGAAAGTTCTTGGCGCGTTGAGTTGTAATTCAGACAAAATGGGTGTGTAACATCCTCCGATGAGGTTTTTGAATCACTGATGCTATGTTAAAGAAATTATACGATTAACAAAAATATTATTATTTATAATATTAAATATTTCTATCTATCTAGTACTTTTGCCAATTGTAATAATTATATTGAAAATTAATTCAACTGGTCTAATAAAAAAAAGATTTATTTTCCAGTAACTTATGCTCAATAATTATTTCTTAGTTTTATTACAAGCTTATGTTGTTCCGTTCCATAATCTAATATATAAAAATTATTTTTTGTTTGTTCGTATTTTATGCGCTGCCATACCGTTCATTAGATTGCGCTAAAACTTTGTCAACATATTGCTTGCACTTGCGTGAAGGTTATAGGCATAGTACAATTACCTATAATAGGTGGCGCGCGTATCGTACCAACAAACTTATTTGAAAGTTATACATCACATCAACTTCAATGAATGTATTATTATTCCTAATGAAGCAATGTAACTCTTCCAAATTTAAAACGATTTTTCGACAATTATTTTTTCTGTGGGAGCAATGTACCAGGTATCAGCTAGTCCAAATAGCAATTATGATAAATATTATCATTTATTAGTCCACAACACCTCCCTTAAAATAATCCAACACACATGATATAATGAACTAATAATAATGGAGGTAAATGTCAATAACTACGCTAAAATTCTTACAACATATAGGTGCCAGTTAAAGTTTTAATAACACATTTTTATAAAAATGTAAGTTATTTTAAGATGATGATGACTTTAAAATTATTCCGTGACGTGCGTTCCCACGATTTTACTCGTTATTTGATAAGACAATTACGGTCACTATTACTTGACGTATTCCATGATCTTATAATCCGTAACTGACATTTGCTTAAGTGAAAACTAAATAAATGTCAGCAGCATCGTGTTGTCTTTTCAGTCTGCTGCTGCTTTCTTTTGATTGAAGCCACACGGCTTAAGATTTGAGATAAGAAATTCAATCTACTAATAAACTTCTTGGAATTCCTCTACATCTATAGAAACGCCATTATAGTGTCAATTAGTAACCGAAACGTTATTATCATTTAAATATCTAATTGCTTTTACAATCCTTTACTTCGTCTCTAGTAACTAATTAGCTTTAGTAAATTTTTTGAAAATGAATTTTCAAGTTTTATAATATCAACTATCGACAATAAGACATCAATTAAGATGCAAAAGTTAAATCACTCCATCAATGTGAGCATCTCCGATCAGATTGTTATCATGTAAGAGTTCAATAACTGAAAACTTGCTGCAACTCACTGCATCCGTATCTACTCGCTCGTCTCAATTGACATTTATTCCCTGCAAGTATCACTAAAATGTAAATGTGGTTACTATACACACCAATTCACAAGCTTGAATTTGCTTTTAGTAGCGCCTGCTTCATTGCATTCTGAACTCTATTACTATGTTAAAAAAACATGTTTGATCAATTGAAATGCAAGAACGAGGTTTCTGGTTGTAAATATCCAGTGTATCTCGATATATAGCGCTGTTTGGTGTTGCAGAGAGTTTTATTGAAAAGGGAGATCTTACTACGCTGGTTTCTTGTTTGGTGTGCTAGTAAATTTCATAGTATATTGCATAGAGGAGGTAATGAGGCGGGGCAATGGGTGTATATACGGACAAAGATCTGGCTAACATACGGAGATATTATGTATGCTTTTAGTATGAATGACATTGAGTAGATTTGTTAACATCTTATATTCTCATTGATACAAGTTTTACAACATTGTAATATCGAGCAACTCTAATTTTTTGACATTCATTAAAACATGACGTGAGAATTAAAATTAGGTTAATTTTTTTCATTATACATGAAGTTTTATCTGTCTTTCGGCGACATGTTAAGGTTATACAGCCAAATAGTTAATGGGTTTCTTTTCTTGGGGTTTTGTTGAATTGTAAATATATCTATGTCTTTCACATTGCTTGCTAGGTTGCCTTGGAACTTATTATATAAACGTTACATCGGAATTGATTCGATTAAAACAAGTGAGTATATTTGTACTAATGCATACACTTGTAGCACTATAATATCTCATGCACATTTGATAGCTTCTGGCTGTATTCGGCAGTTGGTAACACAGACATTTTTACTTGAATCTTATACGATAATTTTGAAAACTGACATCAACGCAGTGTCAGTCATGTTCATGCACAATAAACTCACCTCCATAGCTGTCGATTATTCGGAATATGTTGCTCTAGTAAAATCGGATCGTTTGTCAGCATCTAGCTTGCCGTCTGGTTACAATGTGGGTGTCGTTAGGGCAAGAGTAAATTTAATGTTAAAATTTCATTTAGCGCTACTTAAAGCACTTTAACGCACAGACCTAACGTTTTATCATATTAAGCTTCAACACCACAATATTAGGACAGTAAGTCAGGCATTTTTTTTTGTTAAAAAAATACTAGAAATGATATTTTAATTAATATAACAAATTTTCCCTGTAACCACTTTTGGTAAGTTTAAAATGCTTGTGTTAGGAGTTGTTCACGACAGTAGTTGAATGGTGGATTCAAACCCACGACATTTTAAGGTTGTGGTCCGCAGTCTGCCATTGGGCTGTCGCTTCTAATAAACCACTAGATAGTACTAGTTCTATTCTACAGACAGGTAAGCAAACCAATAAACCACACGATTGTTAATTTGCCTGCGCTAATTTGCAATAGTAAATTAATTTGGCTCCTCTCAAAGTTGTCATTTATCATTAATTAAAGAAACCTACACGTTCAAAATGTTCCAAAATTAAGAAACCCTACACAATGTTCATTTTCGAGATATACTTAATCACAATAAAAGCAACATAAAAATAGTTTTAACTCCTAATATTTACTAACGCCAACGCAAAACTACTCAAGAAATTATTGGAAACGAACAATACACGAAACCAAAAACTGACACGAAAATCACGACGGATCATGCATTGAATATGTTTGGTTTACCAAACAAATTTTTGAATGCTCGGTCCAATATGGAAGTTCCTGCTTAACTAATTGAATCAAAATACAATATCATACCCGATTTGTACGACACGGAGATGAATCACATGATTCCTTGTAGCGTTACGTCAGTTACCGGCGATGTTTGCGTTTTGAAATATATTTTTTAAACGAAAACGGTCTTTACTACCAAGATCATAATGAATATATTCAATGTCGTGACAAGTTTTCACTTAGAGTATAGTACTAAGTACTTTTTATTGCGTTATTTGGTAGAGATGCTACGATAAGGAATATGTCTAAGAATGTAGCCAACGATCGATTAGGTATTGTTGTTACCAGATTGGAAATAATGTTTTAAACGTTTTCCGTTTAAGATAAAAATATTCTATTGTTGTTCCAATCAGCAGTGTGAGATCTTTATGAATGTGTTTACCGTATACAAAATTTTTCATTTTTAAATCTCTTTTTTATGTTATAAGTATCTTTAACCATGGCATTTTACGTAGTAGGGCC